CCCCATGTATAGGATCTCTTGGATGGCTTGGTCCATGCAATCGAACAGGGTTCACAACCGCATATTACTACGTACTCTTATATGCAAATAACGTAAAGACCGATCATGGAGCAATTAATCCGTGAGCCTAGCGTGCATTGGCGCTATCCATCTACGTCCTACAGCCGAGACTGCTGCGACAACAGACGAAAGCGATGGATCGTCGCTGAGGCTACACGTCGACGTGTCGCCTGCGGTGCGTCGACATGGCGGATTTTCAGCCAGCCAGGCTAGCGCATAAGGTAATTTAATACACAAATTGCCAGGGAAGAAGATGGCTCGATCGGTTTAATTTCAAGAGAAAAGGGAAACGAAAGAGATGGCTCCCTCGACATCGCCATCCATCAATCGCTTTGCCTGCGACAGAGGAAATGATGATCCGATCGATGTGTTTCTACTGCGGCTTCGCCGACGTCGACGCCGATCGGTGGATCGATCGATCGATCGCGATCCGTTTGGCTCGGCCGGTCCGTTAATCTGGTGGCGGAATTGACCGGCCGAAAGGACCGGGAACCAGCGAGTCACCGCCGCCGCCAACGCCGACGTCTCGTACTTCCGTCTCCCGGCGGCCGGTCGAGCGATCAAGCTAGCTAGCTAGTTTGGCTCAACGCATGTGGGAGTAGATTGCATGGTGCATGCATGGCCACGATCCACGATCAACTTGGGTCTTTTCTAAGTTTGTTTTGGTCCCATCGCGACCGGATGTTATTGGGATCGAGCCGATGGATGCACTGCACCCGGCCGAGCTTGCGTCACACGTCAGGTGAGACGAGGATGATTAACTTAACGGAGCTACTAGCTAGTTAGGGGTAGTAGTTTAGGAGTCGCTTTTGGACCCGGGTTACCGCCGCCTGCGAATATTTAGGCTCGGCTCCAACCAGTCGTGGAACAACATGCAGGTCCGTACGTACGCGTGCAGCGCATGCATGCATGTGCCGATGTGCGGCCGGCCGGCCACCCGGAACTTTTTATTTTCGAGAATCCCGGCCACCCGGAACTGAGAACTACTCGATTGCTCCCGCTACCACGCATGCTACGTGGATATTTCATCTGACTCCCGCCGGAACCATACACACGTAGCGCCGGCGATCTTGGTCTAAGCTAATACCCTAGTCTAACCCCGGCCGGCCTATCACGTAGTACGCTTTTTGCCTGGTAGACTCGTCACGTACGCTAACGCAGCAGAGCATGTTCAGTTCCGCACGTAAGGGTCGCTGACACGTAGGCCGGCCGGCCGGCGGGTCTGAACAAGCAAGAAATTAAGCAGCTAGCGCGTGCGTGCGTGCGTGCGTGCATGCACAGCTGCGCTGACACGTACGTGAGCGTTCGCGAGGTCGGTGACGACGGGGTTTCTGGGGTTCCTGTCCGGCGATCGTAGACCGCGTTTGGGCCACACAAATGGCCGGGAGGAGCGACTACAAATATAAGCCTGTCATTAGCGAGCTCGCCAGAGACCGGACAGGGTTACCTATAGCGCATTCATTGAGCAATGTCCTGTCTTTCATCTAACCAAAAAAATGTTACTATAGTACGCTCACTAACAGTGATGTATCATGTATGGTATTTGTTGAGCAGTGTTGTAACTATGACACTAGCACACTCACTAACAGTGATGTGTGGGAGTATTTGTTTGTTGGGGCCATTAAGTAGCGTAAGCGGTGCGGCGTGGCGAGCGTATTAATTGGCCCCCTTTGACCGAGAGTCGGGTGTGCAGGCAGCTAGCTATGGCTAGCGAGCGAGCTAGCGGCGTCAACGTCCGTCCGCGGACGGAGGGAGGGAGGGGCGGGTCGCGGTCTCCCGCGGAGCGCCACGTACGCGCGCGTGCGGCTCGTTTTGCGTAGAATACAGCTGGGTCGTGTGAAAACCCGGCGGCTGCTGCCACGGCTTCGGCCGCCGCCGCCCGCCCGGGAGACCGACCGACGGACCGGAGGAGCCGAGCTTGCTCTCGCACCGCACAGCACGTCTGGGTCACGCTCGTCTCGTCCTTCGCTGCGCGGCATGACTCGGCATGCACTGGACGCAGCTCGTAGGCGCGATGGTCATCGATCTCGGCCCCATGCCGTATCGCTCGACCGGTCCGGTTGAATTAACTACGCGACGGACCGGTCCGGCGTCACATTCTTGTACGTATTTCGAGGCGGGAGATCCTCGATCGGGTTCACATAGCAGCAGCAGCGGCAACACGTACGCGAGAATGGGATACGCGCGCACGTAGCTGAGATCGGCGTTGGTTGACTGACAATGTAGCTTAGGTGTGTCTGAACGGCGCCGTCCGTAATTCCGTGTACGTGCTCCAGGCCGGCCGGGCGCGCCCCGGCCGAACGGGTGGCGCGCTCGGGCCGCTCCACGAGATGTCTGCGCGCGCTCCCGGTCGACACCTGCACCGCCGCGCGCGCACTTATACACCTCGTCTGCGAGTGCTACGTAACTATAATAAAGTGTAAACTTTTGCAGTGACGATCATTGGTTGGTGGGCCTAGCTTCCCTGCACTAGGGGCGTCGCTTGTGGACAACGAACACCGGGCCGTCCATGCGCTTTCCGCAAGTCCGATTTCCGGCGTGGTCTTCTCTCTCGTCGATCGGCTGGCCAAGACAAAAGCGAGACCGCACCTAAAAGCGCCTTGATTTTTACTTCGTGACAAGACAAACTCCCGTGCGTGTCGCACCAGCCAACGTCGCTTGATTTCCCTCTTGGTCAAGTCCTTTTTGTTACCGCCATCGATCCAGAACCGCCGGCCGGCCCGACAGACCAGCTACGTACCTAGCGTTGTGAAAAAGCAGAGAAGACGTTACACGCGGCGAAGTTTCCCGCGCCGCCGGCGTGGCCATGCCAATGTCATGCATGCTCGCCTGCCGGACGGTCAGGGAGGCGGCAGGTCCGTGCCGTTTTCCAGGCTCGGTCGACAGATGATGCGGTGTTGGATACGGAGAGTTAACTGGAACTGAACCTTCTTGGCAGGTGCCCTGCAGTGCAGGCCAGGCCGTCCGGTGCAGAAAAAGGAAAGCGGGAACTGGGTTTTTCTTTCTGTATTTCTTTCCACCTGCCAACTTGTCCCAGTTCGCTACGTCAGGCGGATTCGACAACGTCGGAGACGAAAAGGGAGAGGGGGATATGGATTATTAGCAGCGGCAGCATCGATCAAATCGAATAATATTTTTCTCCGGCCACCTTTTGGGCTTATACATTAGTCCACGTCAGTTCCCCTTGATAATATTCCACCATGTCAAGCTAGCTAGCTAGCAGAAAGGTGTCTCTTGTATTGGGATAACATGCTACGCTTCACGTCACCAGGCAGGATTCCTTGGTTCTTTCTCATCTGCTGCATGGCACAGCTTTCTGGGGCTTATTTTTTCAGGAGATAATGATGATGATAGCTGGGCCCCTTGCCTAAAAGGGCCATGGCAACTTCCGCTACTTGCTGGGGCCGGCCTACATTTGTTATAAGCCAGGATGAGGTATCTGAGCTGAAGGCGATCCATCTAAAATCTTTGTCTATTCCAATTCCAACTCATTGGGCTGCATCCTCGTCACCCTCTGGTTGTCAGACACCAGCAGCAACTTGGACGCTTACTATACTGCTACTTGATTTTCCTCGCCCTCGATCTCTTCTGTCAGAGAGGATTGAATGTGTGCAGCTAATCGCCAAGGACAACACTTAGCCCCATGACCACAACTCCACAAGTGGATGAGAGTGAGCGAGAAGACCTTTCTACTGATTCACCCGGAGCTTCCCATAATATTTGTCAGCCGGGGACGTTGAGCTTCAATCATATGCGCATGCGGCTGGTCCAGAGGTCACCTTGTCGCATCGCCAAACAAAGTCAACGTGCGCCGTAAATGTACTCTGTGGTGCCACTTGGGGATTGATATGATATGCAAAACAAGGCAAGTGCAATACGAGCAACAACAGAAAAAAAGAGGAAATTCCACAGTTCAGAACACCACTTCTCCACATATTCAGTAAGCACGATGGTGATCCATGAAAGTGTAGACCCAGCTGACACATTTACAGTGTTAAGTTTTAACTTTGTCAGAGAGAATAGAATAGTAACTTGGATTTCTATCATTTTCCATCCGCAAATTCATGGCAGTTCAGATTTTACAGGCGAAACATACATGTGCTGGTGTCAAGGTTACAACACTGCTCGAAGCAAAAGTTGACACCAGAGGCTTTAATTCAGTAGTACAAGTTGGTCATAAATAATGAAGCCGGTCTCCGTTGACCAATTGTATATCTAAGAGCGGCGCGCCCGAGCTATCAGGAAAGCTGAATACAACAATGCTGAGGTCAAGTAGCGTTCTTCAGGATGGACCCAAGGCTCGTTTGGGACCCTTGCTTCTTCTACAGCTTCCTAACTTATGCATGTGAAGAGCGCATGATCATAGCTCCCTAAGTTGTATATGTACAGAAGGAAGAAGGCAAGCTGAATAGTGATACATGTGTACCAGCCTAACAGGTTTCAGTTAGACAGAATCCTCTCCGGTGGATGAATTGCGAATGGGCCGGTTCCGTTTCTGTGTTTCTATAACCCTTTGCATGGCATAGTGACACCTGCAAAGCAAATAGGGAACAACGTTGTAGTTATCCTTGTCACGGAAAAAATTACGAATTACGGAAGCATAGTAGTTAACCAACAGGAATTTTTGTTAGACATTTATACTTAGATCTAGTGTAATCTCAATCCAATTAATCTAGAATAGGTGAAGCTCTGCACTCATTGTTCATTTGGAACAGCAATCAAATATAGCTCTTAACCCTAATGAACTTTCCACATGAGTAGAGTACTAGAGTTTTGCCATAATAAAGTTTTATTCCCTGTATATAGAGATTTTGAGGACATACCTCCGCGGGAGATGATCAAGGAACATGTGAGGGGTCAAGTTGGATAATGATACATTTGTACAGAAGGAAGAGGCCAAGCTGGATAATGATACATTTGTAGCAGCCTAACATATTCAGTTAGACAGAATCCTCTCCACTGGATGAATTGAGAATGGGCTGGTTCCGTTTCCGTGTTTCTATAACCCTTTGCATGGCATGGTGACACCTACAAAGCAGTAGATCAACTATATAATTTAAGAAAACACACCAGTGAACAATGCTGTGGTTATCTTTGTCACACAAAAAACCTCTGAACTACCAAAGCATAGTAATTAACAAACAAGGATTTGTTAAACGTTTTTACTTTGATCTAGACCTGTGTAATTTCAATCCAATTAATCTAGAATGGGTTAAGCTCAGCAGCATTCATTCCAAGTTGGAACAGCGAAGAAATAAAACTCTTAAACCCAATGAACTTTCCACACGGGTATAGTACTAGAGTTTTGATCTAATAAATTCCACAAAGAGAGTTTCTGAGGATATACCTCCACGGGAGATGATCAAGGAACATGCGAGGGGTCACAACAAGGTCCATAAAATCCCGCCGATTCGCTATAAATGCTTTATAACTCTTGTTCTTGTGACGAGTCACAAGTGTCTTCGGCAATGGAGAAGTACCATTCTTTATGGGAACGATATGAATAATGAGGCCAGGGAGGTACACATCTGGCGACTGCCCTTCAGATAAACTTATTGTACACGTGTGATCCGGAGCAGATGAGAGCTCAGTACCATTATTTGAATGAGGTAACCTGTAACTACTTCCGGATTCATCCAAGCCAGCTTGTGAAAACTTGTCATCTCTGTATGCATAACTAGGTTCTCCAGAAGGTGCATCATCCAGAACACCACGCGAAGCAACAGTCAATTTTTCACCATTATAGGTTAATGTTGTTCTAGATCGTCCCAACTCATAGTTAATTGCCGCAGTGGAGCTAATTCTATGTTTGGGAGTATTTACCAAGCAAGATATTGCTTGACCAAAGAGGAACACACCACCTCTAACTGTATGCATTACACTCTTTCCATGGATTTGACCATTACTTTGCTTTGCATCGCTGACTGTCTGAAGAGCACCAGAAGAAGCACATCGAACCACAGCGTGTTGTTCATCATGCCTTTTATTGCTCGTGAAGCCACTCACTAGTTTGCCAACTTTAGTAGAATTTGGCGAAGTATCCTTTGATAAAGCTTTGATAGCAGCACCACGTAATCGAATTACCGAATTCATGGATAATCTCGAGGAAAATTCATCGTTGTGGACAATGCTGCAAGTAACAGATAGCTAATCAGAAAATCAAATGCTGTTGTCACTTGCCAGTAATAAAAAATAATATATGTACAATAAGTTCACTGGTACAGAAATTTGAAGTTCACCTGGTGACAAACTGTGAGCATGCATCTGCTATCACGAAATCCACACAGGGTGCAGCTCCATAAGTAAAGACATGTAATTTTGGAAACTGTTTATATAGCTGCATATAATAACACTGGCTAATTGTCAAACATGAATATGTCAAAAATAAATTTAGGGTGAACTCAACAGTTAACAATTGCAAGAACATAGAAGTGGTATGATTTGGTGCCTCATGGGCATGTACCCACATTTATGAAAAGAGTGACACCCAAAATAGTTCGGCCGCAACACGACACATCACTTGTGTTTTTGAGGGGGAAAAGTCTGTTGTGCAGCTGCTCATGCATGGATTGAGTCAGATGCGCGTATGTGGGCTTCGTCTGGTGAGACTGGGTTATACACGACGCTGCCAACAATGCAATAACTAGGAGCACAGTCTCGTGCGTGTGGTCTGGGTTTTTGGCCTAGTCTTAGGTTTGTACATTACATATTACAGTCTTTTGTATTAGTGCGTCGAGACGCAAAGTGTTTTTTATAAAACAAAATAATAACCAATCAAGCTCTGACTGAATAACAAATCAACAAATCAAATGCATGACATAAATTCCATGCAAATATAAGCTAACTTACCATAATACCAAGAAGTGCAGCTACAGCACCTCCTAAAGAATGTCCAACAATTTCAATATTGTATCCATCACACTCACATCCAGCTCCAAGCAGCGAAGATAAGAACCCAGCTGTCATCAGCTCTGACTTATCTGCAGGCGGTTCCATGCTAGCGGTTAATATAAAAGACAAGTTATTTATTGCAGCGGTTGAAGTGTTCTTTTCTTTTATGGGCATACGAGGCTCTGCTGTATTGCACTGTGCTAGTTTCTAAGAACACAGTGAGTATGTGTGTGCATAGAAGATAAATCTACATTTAGTTCCATGTTAACCTTGATGAATGGACTGCCCTTCAAGCTTTGTGTACAATTCTCGAGCCGATTCAATAATTCCTGCATGCCCATAGTGTGGAAAAGACGAGAGGACAGCCTCCTTCACTTGAGGGGGCAACTGATCAGAACTGCAATATAACAAATCATTTATAAGGTAAATTAAGAGTCAAATTCATAATTGAGTTCAGAGTGACCATTGACAAACACTAGGTGAATGAGAAAATCCTACAGATTCACTCATGGCAGCCTACTAGGGGTGGAGAGTTCCAAATAGTTCCTTTTTAGTTTCTCATACGAGGGTAAACTCCCAGACTCTATTACCAGAAGACAACAGATCAAATCATTTACGAGGTAAATGAGTCAATTGATAATTGAGTTCAGATAACCATTTACGCTAGGTGAATGAGAAAAACCTCCAGGTTCAATCATGGCAGCCTACTAGTGGTGGAGAATTCCGATAGTTTCATTTTAGTTCCTTATACAAGGTAAAAACCCCAGGCTCTACTGCCAGAAGACAAACAGAACAAAGTTCCTACTTAAGTCTTTGAGTACCGTTTGCCACCTACTGCTAACAACCGAACCCGTACAGGAAAACGAACGAGTTTATGCTCTTCTGATAACCCAGAGGAAAAAGGTGTACATAATCGCCCTGATGAAGCACTGGCCACAGGACCATCCAACCAGCAAAAGCAGCTATTCAGTAAATATGTGATGATATGGATCAGACAATTCTTTGACATACGAGCCTAATTTCAAAAGGGAACTTTAGTTCACTCTGGATAAATTTCAGTATGACAGATAAGGCTAATGCAGATAGAGTTAGTTACTTGATCAGCCCATCCAAGTCATCCATGGTAAGAGAGCATTCCCTACACAAGCCATCGGTTATAACATCTTCTGGAGTCTCAGTTCCACGAATGGCAATGACTATTGTTCTCAAGTTATGTAAGACAATAACAAAGTAGGCAGCCTCACGTTTTGTCTGCAAGAAGAAGAGAAAAGAACTTAGATTTGTCACAAAATAACTGTAAAGTTGATCCAGTGGATGTGCCGATTTACCTGGCTAACACGCCCTTTCCGAAGAACTTCTGGGGGCACATTGACATACTTTAGGAAAGCCGCTGCATGCCCTCTCCACCAATTATCTCCTTCAAGGATTGGTCGTCTAAGGAAGTAAAGTTCTGTAAGCTGATTATGCATCATGCAACAGAGAAAAAAAGATATCTCATAAAAAAAACTCAATTTGCAAACGAAATTTGTTTATCCTGCAAACTTTACTTTTGAACTCAAGAGAGAAACCACAAGATGCCATGTTTAAGAGACTGCGGCTGGATGAAAATGTAGTTATCAAATTAAATGATGCAAATGACTGAAGGGAGCTATTAGCTTCAGATCCAGAGCAGACATTTCTAAGAATGGAACCAATATATAGTGGACTAAAATGCACCAACTCGTATGAACCCCACTGAGGCCTCGATCAAGTAACACTATTTGATGTTTTTGTGGCCTCAAGAATGAACGGACACCAAAGTACCAAACTGAGCAGGCGTGAATGACCCAAATGTTAAAGATGGCAGAAGCAGTTGTATAATATTAATTCTACAAACAATAATCCTTTTTAAACTACAAACAATGATCTGATGATTGATTGCAAATCCATTTAGAAAGACCTAGAATATTTACCTAGCACGAGTCCATGGAGTTAAAATACCTTGCCTATTGAGCCAAACACAGGGAAACATAAGAGGATTCCTCCCAAAATCAAGTAGCGGACCCTACAAGGAAAAATATGTCAACAATATAACATAAAACACTGGAAATGGGACCAAGTGAAGGATGCAGAAAGTAACTGTATAGGCAGCTTCAGCAAATGGATGAAACAGAATAGCCTCTTGGATGAGATCAGGAGGAGCTTCCACTTGCTCTCTTGGAAGAACTGTCGACATCTTGGATTTCTGCAACAATGAAAACCCTGGAAAAAAAAATCATTTGTCACAGATATTAGTGCTAAATTATAATGGTGCTAAACAGAAGTATCAGGAAACCACAACGTCAAAGCACAGATAAACACATAATTAATCACCAACATCGAACAGAACCGTGCTTTGAATGAGAAGGTAAATAGAAAACCAACCGGCTATGAGCTCAAGATGACCAGTCCCAGATGCACGATAAGCCATAATATCTCCCAACAGTTTTGCCACGACACATATATCGTCATCTTCCAGTACACTCCTGGCAAGGTGAAGGACAACGTTGCTAAGATTGACCAAATATCAACAGAAATAACATAGCACTCAGCACCAGGGACATACGAGTACTTCACCCGTCCTAGACAACATAAAACCTCACGAAAGCCATGATCAAACACCTCCCTATAGTGAGCCCTCCATGCAATATCATGGGTTGCATAAAAGGACCTCCATCTTAGTACATCAGAACCTGTGGCACACTGGACTATTGTTCCCACCCACATGACAACAAGAAAAATCATTAACAAGATGTTCTTCCAGTCATTGACGTCCTTGTCGTGTCCTGGTAAAATTCACAGAACATAACTCAGTAATTATAAAGTAGAATTGTAACACAGGAATTCCCAAAACCCTGCACCTAACAAACTAAATGATTTAAGACTGCATTTTTATATATCAGTACATGTCTTCGACGATACAGATAATTTAATCACAAAGAACAAGGATAGATTAGATAAAGAAGTTCTTTGTACTTCAGACAAATTCAGTAAATCTGAATGTACCTGAAAAACACTCCTTCAATGACTTCCCAGATGAGAAATCCTTTACAATAATACACATCAAATAAAGTGCCAGCACAAATTGGAGCACTGTAATTACCATCCCAAACCTTGCCCACCAAAGCCATCTATTGTATCGTAGCTGTCCACAAAATAATAGTAACTGATGTCATGGTTCAGAATGCTATTATGGAACATCTACAAACCAAGTAGGATATGAATCATGTTATTAACACTAACACTTCGAGGCAGTAGCCATCAACAATACATCACTTCTTTAAAGGAAGTGGTGCCATGAGCCAAATAAATCAATGAAACTAACATTACCAAGAATTAGTAAAAGGAAGCTAAAAATAGCTACATATTCACTTTCATTGTGTCGTGGTGGGTAAGATATTTAACGGACTTGGTTGCGTTGATACTATGTTCTACAGAGGAAAAGTGAATGATCGCAGTAGTCAGCATGTTCTATGATATCCTAGCTGACAGAATAAAGTAATGTTTGGGTGTGGCGGATGTGTATGGCTACTGATTGTTCCACTCCCACAGGTCTGAACAACCAATTTCTTCGCCACATTTGTAATGGCTTTGCCATAGTTTAGCAGAAAACTTGTTGCAAATTTCAGCTATGAACCAAACATGTTGAAATGTTAAAGCCGGCCGCGATTGACCCAGCCGGATCCAACAAGATCACCTATTTTGACCATGGCACCCTCCCAATTTGGCTACATATTGTGACAGTTTCTCATACTGTCGGTCTGTGGCAGTGCAGTTCTAGCTTAGCTAAGTGAGTTGAGACAAACTAATCAGGTAATTCTATTTCCTGCAAAGAAAAAAAAACTCTTGCCTTTTCGAGAAGCACTGGACCAGAATATGGCCGTGAACATGACATTGTTACTGTTATTACCATTGAGTTACAAATAAAGCAGCTCCCAAAATCCATTTTTCCATAATAGTATTGTTTTTTCACGATTTCAGCATTGATTGGTTTGTAACCGAGCTGTAACTAGCTCGAGGGCAAGGCCGCATTGCTCTGGGCAGCTTACCCGCGAGAGATGCCTGAGGTCGCGGTCGCTGTCGACGTGCGCCCCGATGGCGCCGGCGGCGATCGCGCTCGCCGCCAGGCCCTGCGCGAACCCGGCCACGGCGGACGCGAGGAGCCTCGCCGCGGAGGCCGCGGACGCGGCGGCGGCTGCGGGGCCGAGCGCGCCCCCGCAGCGGCCCCGGAGCGCGAGGGCGGCGACGGCCGCGCCGGTGGACGCGGCAGCGGCGTTGAGCAGCGCCGAGCAGGCGGTGGACCACCGCACTGCGGCCAGCACGCCGGCGGGCATGGCGAGGCGGGGGCGGAGGCGACGAGGTGGCGAGTGGTGGAGGCACACGAGGCCAGCACTACTAGGTGGGCAGCACCAGATGCCATTGGCGCTGCCTTTTTCTCTTATGACGAGGCGATTGCTGGAGCCTGGAGACGGGGGAAGGGGACAGCGGGTGGGGCCTAGTGTCAGCAGGTGGTGGGGTTTTGCGTAGGGTGTCTGGTTGGCAGTTGAGCTGACCCGCTTTCTCTCTGTCTCTGCGCGCTCTCATACGGAAAGGTTCCGTGTACGAAATGGCATTATTTTAGCATTGACACTGTGGTGTTTGACCCTCGCTGCGCTGTGGGCCAGATGGCGCTTCTGCTCTCCGGGTCCCGCTTGTCATTGTGGCGTAGTGTCGGAGGGCTACATTGATGGAAAATAGGTTGGGGTTTATATAGTTGGCACGCCGCGTGGGAGATTAATGGCGTGCTTCTAGAACGGGGTGGTGGTACTGGTATATGGTTCGCTCGGTCGCTGTGGGCGTTGGAGGTGGCTTAGCCAGGTCAATGCGTCGGGTCCACTGCTACGACCACATGACGAGCAACCGCAGTGTGGAGTGTGGAGAGGAAAGTAGATTGCTCGAGCAATGCGTATCGGCCACGTACCCTCCTGAAACAGTGGCTGTGGCTCGCACTAGAGGCGCACCACAAGATGTTTCTTTCTTCCAGCAACGCTCGTCTTCTTCGATCCGGTGAGGAAAACCCATCAAATCTTGCTTGCTTGCTTGCACGATTGCAATTGTTCACGTTTGTGCTCGTCATGGGTCAGGGAGCACCGCTGATACAGACTAGCAGGCGGAGGCGTGGCGGCACGGTTAGATGATAGGCTCGTGAAATTGTATAGGTTGGTGCTACGTGACATGTTGTCACGGTTGTACTATGTGCGTGCATGTAATATGTATGTAGCAGGTTGCTAGCTAAGGGTTGATCTTATCCATGTATAGCTTGGAGTAGAGCAAAGCCTAGTAATAACATGCGTCAATTGTAATTCTTTTCCTGCTATATAACACGGACACGTCCCTGCAGAGATTGTATACGCTTTCATGCCTCTTTTCTTATATGATATCCGAGCAATCCTCGACTTCATCCATGGCGACGTCTTCAACTTCCTTCCCCTCCTCTCCATTTGTTCACGCCGTCACCGAGAAGCTGACCAAGGGCAATCAAGCGCTGTGGCGGGTGTCCGTGCTCTCTGCCACCTGGGGACCGCAGATGGCGAAGTACCGCGATGTCGACCAACCGGCACCGCCCATGAAAATTGAGGTGGCCTCTTCTGATGGCAAGACCACGACGAAGGCGCCGAATCCCGACTTCCAAGCCTAGTATGTGCAAGACCATCAAGTCTTCTCCTATCTTCTGACAACATTTCCTCGTGAGATGGCTATCCAGGTTGCATCATGCCACACCTCGGCAGAGCTTTGGAACACGGTGGAGGGGATGGTTGCCTCTCACACCCGTGCTCACACCACCAATGTCGGGATCGCCCCTCGCCAATCTGTAGAAGGGCAACTCGGGAAGATCGGGTCCCTCTACGACGAGCTGATCGCTGTAGGGAAGAAGGTGGACGAGGAGGACATCGTCTCCCACATCTTGGCTGAGCTCGAAGAAGACTTTGACCCCGTGGTCTCCGCCATGTGCTCCTGGGTGGAACCGGTCACCATGGTCGAGTTGTTCCCGCGGCTGCTCAGCTTTGAGACAAGGATGAATCTTCGTGGTGGAGGATCGCAGTCCTTTGCCAATGCTGCCACTCGAAGCTGCTTCACCAAAAACGACGGCTGGAGTGGTGATCGTGGCCGCAAGCAAAGGCGACAATGGTGGTGATCGTGCCCGTGGCTACTCCAAGCCAAGCGGTCGCGGCAGTGGCAGGGGACACGACGGTGGCCACAACGACGACGACGGGGGCAACTACAAACTACCATGCCTCCGTTCCCAAGGTGCAGTGCCAGATCTGCGGGAAGATGGGCCACCCAGCATGGAAGTACTAGAAACGCCACGACGAGTCCTACCAGGGTGTGGAGGAGAAGCCGTCCAACCTTGCAGCTCCATAGTACGGGGGTGTACACCAATTGGTACCTTGACAGTGGTGCCACCGACCACATCACGGGCGATCTAGAGAAGCTGACAGTGGGCGACCGCTACACCGACAACGAGCAGATTCATACCGCAAGTGGTTCATGTATGATTATTGAACACACTGGTCATTCGGCTATTCACACCCCAGATCGTGACCTTCACTTAAATACTATTCTTCATGTACCAGAAGCCAACAAAAGTCTAATCTCTGCTAGCCGCCTTGCCATTGACAATAATTCCTTTGTTGAAATTCATCCTGTTCTTTTTTTGTAAAACGGGGAACGAGGAAGCTACTCCTTCAAGGCAGGGTACCGGTAGAACATGTCTTCTACCCAGTTAGGCACATGGGATCCAACCAGGGCCGGCCCTGAGATTTTGGGGGCCCGGGGCGAAATAGATGCCAATCCCAAGGGCCTTAACATAAACATAGAAAAATACGAAAAAAATATGATGAATTGTCAACCAAAGGAAATGTAGCCTTTTTTCTCTTTCTTGACTAATATATCCAATTCAGATTAACCCAATTTTTGGATCGCAATACAAAAAGCGGGTTCATCATCAAGACTAGTAGATGATTTAAATGCATATGTTCACTTGCTTTGATATGTAAAGCCTGTCGTATTATTCCTCCTTTGCAACTATCAGTATGTCGCTGAACTTTCTTTTTGATAACCCCAATAATACCTATGCTAAAAATATCTAATATATCAATCATCAGTGACCAGTTGCGATAGTGGAGATGCAATGTTGACAATCATTTTTATCAATCATCATGGTAAACTCCCATAGGGGATAGACTCCCTGTATAAATAGGTTTCAGAGACATACCTTCTTCTTTGTAACTTGTAGATGATCTTGGAGGGTTAGTGTGGTCGGATGGGAGGCAGAGGCGTGGCTATCTCGGCCGGCAGTGCCATACACGCAAAGGAGATGAATATCAATTGTCAGGAAGGGGGTGATCTGTTCCCTCGCTTTTGGCGTCCATTTGCATGGCTCTCATGGATTAAGGAAGGAAATCAGGAGATTTTATTCATAACTACCCTAATTAATCGCATACAACAACTGCTCCATCTTTTAATTTTTGGAAACTGTTACGTGTTTGCCAATCGTGCCTTTGCTGGTAAGGAGAGAAATTAGGAATAATGATGTTTTAAGGATCGTAGAAGGAAAATCGCAGATTAAGGAAGGAAATCGTAGAAAAAGGAAATCTAGAAATAGACAATACTTCGGCATTTTGGGGGCCCTCTCGCACCGGGGGCCTGGGGCGGCCGCCCCATTCGCCCCCCCCCCTTCAGGGCCAAGCCTGGATCCAACATCAAGAAGCAAGCGCTAAGTGCTACCAAGCTATCTTCGGATAGGTGGCACCGACGTTTAGGGCATCCATCTTTTGTTATTGTTAGCAAAGTTATTAGTCAGAATAATTTCCCATGTGCCAGTTCTTTCAATAATGAGTTTGCATGTGACGCCTTTCAGAAAGGCAAAGTCACCAACTGCCTTATCCAAAACCAATAAGTGAATCAATTTCCCTTTAGAACATGTGTTTTCTGATGTTTGGGGTCCTGTTGTTGAAACAGTAGGAGGAAAAAAAGTACTATGTGAGTTTCATAGATGACTTCAGTAAATTCACATGGATCTATCTAATCAAACATGAGTGTGGAGTTTCCCAAAAATTTCATGACTTTCGGAATCTTGTAGAATGACAATTTGACCACAAAATTCTTGCTCTTCAAACAGATTGGGGAGGGTAGTACAAAAAATTAAACTCCTTCACCAAGATAGGCATATCCCATCATGTCTCGTGCCCATGCTCACCAACAAAATGGTTCAACTAAGAGAAAACATCGACACACTGCCAAAGTAGGCTTGTCACTTCTTGCTCAAGCTTCAATGCCCCTAAATTTTCGGGATGAAGCTTTTATTGCTTCAACCTATTTGATAAACCGAATCCCTAGCAAGGTTATCAATTTTGAGACACCATTTTGAACGGTTGTTTCATGAAAAACCAAACTATTCAATCCTTCGAATTTTTGGGTGTGCTTGTTGGCCCAATGTTCGACCTTACAATGATAATCATAAACTCCAATTTCGATCCAAGCATTTTCCTTGGGAATAACAATCTTCACAAAGCTTTTAAGTGCCTTGACATCTTCACTGGACGTGTTTATATCTCTAGGGATGTTGTATTTGATGAAAATGTTTTTCCCTTTTCTACTCTCCATCCTAATGTCGGCGCCTGCTTATGTGCTGAAATACTTTTGCTACCTCCAGAGCTATTATATCCTACTAATCAAGGGGGTGAATATTATGCTGATGATCATTTGTTTAATAACCCTAGTGGAGATAACGCTGAAAAAACAGCTCTCCAAGTCATGATTTTATGCGACGACAGAGAGCCCTTGTGCATCCTAGCGGCACGGGACATGAGGCAGATACACTTGTAGGAACTAATCCCCAGAAATCTGGTGCAAGTGCGCCTGCTGACACGGCAACAGAATCCCAGGAGAATCCTGTGACGCCACCTCCTCCAGATTTGAAGGAAATATGCCCTAGAGGCAATAATAAAGTTGTTATTTATATTTCCTTATATCATGATAAATTTTTATTATTCATGCTAGAATTGTATTAACCGGAAACTTAGTACATGTGTGAGTACATAGACAAAGCGTAGTGTCCCTAGTATGCCTCTACTTGACTAGCTCGTTAATCAAAGATGGTTATGTTTCCTAACCATAGACATGTGTTGTCATTTGATAAATGGGATCACATCATAAGGAGAATAATGTGATGGACAAGACCCATCCATTAGCTTAGCATTATGATCGTTACAGTTTCATTGCTACTGCTTTCTTCATGACTTATACATGTTCCTCAGACTATGAGATTATGCAACTCCCGAATACCTGAGGA